AGTTCATACCAGACCAGATCAGGTCAGGCTTGAGTAGTTACAAAAATACACAGAGACTAGACACAGTGGCGGAGCCAGAGGTTTGTCCAAGGAGGGGCAAATTGAAGACTAAAAATTTTAAAGTGCGTGTCCAAAATATAATAAGAACAATAGCGTAATAAATTAGCAAAAAAATTATAGTTCATTACATACTATTTGATTTACTTTTGCAACGTAGGCAAATCAATCCTACGAGTTTCATATTTTGAAAATGCTGCATAATAGCTTCATTATCAATTGCTTGAAAAATGTCTCTTTCGATGTAGCATACTAAACAATCCGTAAGATAGTCATCTCCCATCTTATTGCGAAGATCTGTCTTGATAATATTCATCACTGAGAAAGCTCTTTCAACTGTGGCTGTTGCAACTGGTAACACTAGACCCAACTCATAAGACGATTGACCAAGTGAAAAGATTTGTGAATTGTAAGCTCAACCATCTTCTTAGACACTTCACCAATACTTTGTAAAGTGGAAAATGCTTCATTCCCTCTCATCTCATATATCCAAACTTGGAGTTGTTCTTTAAGCTCCATTTGCTGAACAGCTGAAAAATCAGATGAATACAACTCCGCAAGACTGGGGAGCCTTCTTCCAGTTACGGAATCCGGTCCTCACAAACACATCATCACCAAATCTCTTTCCTTCTTGCCCATGAAAAAGGTAACACCAAAAACAGAAAGCAGCATCTTCAGAAATACTATATTCCAACCATTCCCAAGTTTTAAACCACTCTCCTCGAAAGCTCCTTAATGACTTTCCAAATTCAGTTCGTGGAAACTTATGAGATGCTTGCTGGTTGACAGGCACCTTTAACAACATATGCTCTCATCACATCATCCCTAACCCCCGGTGCATATTCATTAATTGGTTTTCGTAAAAATGGATCACTAATAATATCCCATTCATGTGTACTTTCTGTTCGGGCTCTCTTGTCCCTCTCATTCCTCTCATCTCTAGCAATATTTTCATTTGACACAGTGGCATTTCCAATACCGGAGATAGACTGATTAGGAACAATTGAAGAATTAACACTTAATCTTAAAATAACCTTAAGTTGTACTTATTTTTTTTAAAAAAGAAGCTGGGGCAAGAAACATACGAGTATTATAAGTAATACTAGTAAAAAAAATTGGTCGGAGCGGGGGCGCTTGCCCCCCCTTGCCCCCCCCTAGCTCCTCCACTGACTAGACATTACCAGACCAGACAAAATTAGTTCAGACCAGACCATACCAAATTAGACCAGCAAATTACAATCCAAGTAAAAACATCCTTAATGTGCAGAATCTAAATTAAACTTTAATCACCAGTGAAGATTAGGTGAGACTCTTTCTCAAGTTCTTGCAGAAGTCATATGCATTTTGTAATTTTTATAGTAATCTCTTATCACAGTTGCCAAAAGTCAAATTCGAGACTTTAAATTTGATTGCTGAATTATGAAATAATTGAAATAAATGAGATTACAATTACCCTTTCAACATAATTGATTGGAGTTCTAGGAGAAGGCAATTTAACAATATTTTAGCGTAATTTTTTCTTAATTTTATTAATAAAATATATTTTAAATATTTTTTATAATTAATCAGATTCAGCCAATTCAATCACTTCGGTTAGAAAAAACACAATTTTTGCACATTCAACCAATGCAAGCAAATGTTACCAAATGGGCTCATCTCGTATTTTATTGCACTATAACCAGAAAATAAAATCGCATTTTATAGTTCGCTACAATATGAGTTGGCACTACATATATGTAATGAATAGTGTAGAAAATGTATGAGAGTTGGTGAAAGGATAAGAAACAAAATATGAAAAGTAGGTAAAAGAAAACAATTGCGTATTTTTAAAAGAAAAAACTTACCACAAAGAGAAAGTGCAACAAACAAAAAAATACTTCATAAAAAAAAATGTAACAAGCAAAAATTACGGAGACAGTATATATTTACATTTAATTTCGTTTATTCCTATATGTTCTTCGACATTATATTTATTATGAGAAGTGGGTCAAATATGATCCATATTGTTTGATCATCAAGGATCTAACACGTTTAAATCAATTATCTATTTACTATAAAAGTTATACATACATATAGCATAAAAAACAAAGAATCTAATAGGCAACTCTGTAAATACTTCATTTGTCTCATAAATAAATTCTCATTTTATAAAGGTATGCTCGACCAGCGGGAACTTCTTTTACTAAGAGTTGATAAAAAACTTTTATGATCCAATGGCACTAATATTACTCCCTAAGTTTCTAATTCCAAAAATTAGTTTTGGTATTAGTTTTGTGATTCATTGGTTTGAAAATTACACACGTAATGTTTTAGTTTATTTACAATTGTGTAAATTATTTAGAGTAGGACTATTCTAGCATAGGGCAAGTCAAATGTACTCAAAGGATCAATGAATGGACCTTAAAGATCAAAAGATGTGCAAAGGAACAAGATCAAAACAAGGATTTGAAAAAATGTTCATATACCCGATCGGGTATATACAACACCCGATCAGGTATTGACCGGATTTGCGTGTCAAAATGGAATCCGGGAAACAAAGGATCGTGGCATAAAAATATTTGAAGATTTAGTCTCATACTCGATCGGGTAGACCGACACACCCAATCAGGTATGAGTTGTTTTTTTCAATTTCCCGGAAGCTGTTGGATACCCGATCGGGTACCCTAAAACCCCGTTCAAGTAAAAGACCCGGCCGCCTCCATTTTCATATAAATACACTCCTTTTCCTTCACATTAAATTCACTAATTCATATACACCTCTAAACTCAACGTAGATAAGTTTTCTCTTTCTGTTTTAGCATATTTAGTCTTCAAATGAGGATCTAAACTCTTCCATCTTGATTTTGATATGTTGAAGCTATATGATTTGTAAGTTGTGAATTATTTTCATTAATCTTCTTCCTTGAATATTAATTAATTCTTATTTATATTTCATATTAATATTTTGAGCATTACTTAAAAGATCAACTAGTTTTGTTTCATATATTAATTATTATTAGAATCGATCGACAAATACGCTTGTTAATCGTTCGGTCCTTTCACGGTAGTAAACTTGGATTATTAATGCATGTGTCTCATGGTTCGTAATCTCAGGGGAATTAATTATATTGATTAAAACAGTAAACCGCTTGTGTTGATGTTATCAATCTCAATCAGTTTCATCTTAAGTTTATTGCTACTATCGGATTAATATATGGTGTGTGCTCTATATTCACTCGGTAGTAAGTTTTATTAATGAATGCGTCTCATTATTAATAACTACCCTCGATGAAATGCGGATACTCCTCGATTGAGTATTCGAGAGAAAGATAAAGATATAATCGGGATCGACGAACATTTTGTTAAGTGGATATAAGCAAAACCAAGTCCTCATCTCTAATTAATTAAACCACACAAGTCATTCAACTTAGTGTTTAAATATATTTCAAGTTCTACAACAACTTTAAACCCCCTTGTTAATAGTTACATAAAAAGAGAAGTATTCCTTTCCCTACAGATACGAACCTTACTTCATTGTACTACATATAATCGTTGTATTGAGTATTATTTTGAGGCACACCATGACAAAGTGCTCGTCAGCTGGGCTGATGTAGATCTAGAAGGTCGTGTGGCAGCTTGAGTTTGGCCTGGGTAGGTCAGGGACGGTGGGAGCTTAGGTGTGTCATGACTGGGGTCTGGTGGACGGCTGGTAGAGTTTGCTAGGGCTAGGGTTGCTGGTCACTGGAAGGGATGGGAAAGGAGGTCACTGGCATCAGTTGGAGGTGTGGGGGGTTGGGCTAGAGTAGGCGTAGGGGCGGCGACCGCGGTGGCCAGGCAGCGAGGGCAGGTCAAGTGTGGCGGGGGGGGGGGGGGGGGGGGGGAGGCTAGGTGGCTGGGTTGACGGTGGATGGGGCTGTGAAGCTATGACGGGGTTGGGGTAAGGGGGCGTAGCCCGTAGGTTGTCTTAGGCGATGGCGGCGGTTTTGAGGCGGCAGGGTAATGGTTTCCGACGAAAATTTTGATGGGGAAAAGTCACCGGAAATTTTTCTGACGACATGGTGACACGTTTTCCGGTACAGTAACACCTGAAAGTAACATGAAAATTGTTAGCGACATTGCAAAAGTGACATAAAAACTGATAGTGACATACAATAGTGACACAAAAAATGACAGTGACATCACGTTTTTCAGTTATCTTCAAGAATTAATTTGAATGCGTTTCCGATTGAAGTTTTAGCTGGAATTTGGTATGAATAAACTAGACTTGATGAATAAGATATTCAAAAATTTTCATAAAAAAAACCCCGGCCCACCTATTTGACACTTTTCCCTTTATTATTTTCTTATTTAATGACAATTTCGGTACCTTTCTAAAAAGAGGGGTACCGTACCTAACATTCATTTGATTGGATCACATCAATTTATCAATTTTAATTTAGATTTAAATAATTCAACAGTTACCTTTTCATTGGTCCATGTGGACAAATGTATGATACTCTATGAGTACCATACAACTACCTTCTTATATTAGGGATAACTGTCAAATAGGTTCTCGAACTTTCATAAAAAGGTCAATTAAGTCCTTCTATAGGAGGTTCTGTCCGGCCTTCGCGATTTGGCGCAGTTCCCGGTGGAATTTTTTGATGAAATTTTTTGAGCATCTTATTCACCAAGTCTAGTTTACTCATACCAAATTTCAGCTAAAAATTTAATCGGGAACACATTGAAATTAATTCTTGAAAATAACTGCGCATTTTTGCGTTCTCGAATTAATTTGAATGCGCTCCCGATTAATTTGATGCTCAAAAAATTTCATCAAAAAATTCCACCGGGAACTGCCCCAAATCACGACGACCGGACAAAGTCTTCTATAGAAAGACTTAATTGACTTTTTTATGAAAGTTGGATGACCTATTTTACAGTTTTCCCCTTATTTTACGTTCAAAAAGCAAAGTTACGCCCGATGGAATGAAAATGGATTTCGAAGATAGGGAACGGACCAATCAGGTAGCTGAAATATATGGATAGAAAACAGGAAAAGGAGAGTGAAATACTCCGCCCCCATTTTCATTTCAGGGAGAGCTGCTCTCTTTCTACCATCCACAGTCACGTCGACAGAGGTCCCTAGCCCGGCCTGATGGTTACCGCAGCTTCCACTTCCATGGCGGCGACGACCGTCTTCAGCCCAAGACTCACCGCCTACTCCACCCCCATCAGCGGCTGTTCCTTTCCGTGCCTTCGACGACCGCCATTCTCCGTCACTGCTTTCCACGCTTCCCTCAAACCAGCTGGTATTCTCCTCTTTCCTCCCTGAATTTTCTAGTTGAAGGGTTATGAATTAAGAAGTTAAGAGGGCTTCTAATGTATGTCCAATTTGAATGGCTTGCCGTTTTCTAGTTACTTGAGATTTGTTCTTAAATTCGGAATCTTTACCGCTAGTATGATGCTGCAATTGATATATACATTCATAAAGTTGGAAACTTTGATTTAGGCTTGAATAATTGAGGTTCCTTGCTGAAAGGGCATAGTAAGAGTACACTTTTCCACTTACAAACTTTTATCAAATCTTGAGGTTCATTATAAATAGACATTGTATATAAAAGTACCAGTTTCCCAAATATTGTGATTTAGTTTACCTGCACAGAGGAACATTTTTCTCTATCTTTCTAAACTATGCATCATCAAGGATTCGGTGTTTAATTACATAAGTTAATATACTTATCATATTTCCTCTAATTTTCTTAAAGCAGAACACAGGAGGTCTTCTTGTATGCAGGTTAAAGCATCTTCACCCAAGGATACATCAAGTGCTATTGATCCTGAAGAATTGTTTGCTGATCTAAAAGAAAAGGTGTAACCCTTGGCTGTTATGTAACCAGCTTAAATTTCCTGGCCCTCTCTCTTACATTGAGTTTTCTGCAACATTGCCGTCTTAGGGTTATTTGGATGAATATAATGTTTGTAGTATGATTAATAGGTGATTGAAATGTTATATGGTCACATCTTATGTCAAAATTTCAATTTTAATAAAATATCAAATACGTAATACATAGTATATATATTAGTTATAAAGATGTGGACTTATGGCCTTGTTTGGAAATCTGTAATTAGGTGCTTGCTATTATAAGCAAGCTGTGTTTTCGGTTTGACGACGATGGTTTGTCTCTATGATCATCTGGTTATGTCAGCTTGATGTAACTGCTTGGTAAATTAGTTTGATTTATATAGTTATCGTGGTGTAAAGGACATATCTAAACACTATTTATATTGATTATTTTGTTAATAGTAAACTGGACAATTGGTGACATAATAATGTTATAATTAAAATTACTTATAAAATACAAAGTATTAATATGTTTGAAAGTTTTAAAAATATTTTCTTTTAAAGGGGCGGGGGGAGCAAAACCAGGACTTCCCATAAGGACATTAGTGTATTTTACGTGTTTTGCCATTGGTAAAGCCTAATACTTATGTAATTACTATTACTTATCGAATATAAATATTCTTATATTTAAGATAATTATTGTAAAAGATAATAAGCTTAGTGGTCAAATCTGAAAAGTTTGGCAGTTAATTTAGCAATTTAAAAGGTGTTAACTATTTTGAAAGGGAAACTATTTAACACAAACGTTAGCAATTTGACTAGTCAAATCACCTAAAAGTGGTCAAACCAGCAAAAAATGGCTGAAACACCCTTTACCAAAACTTTCCAAAACCTCCATCCAAATGGATTCTCTATGTTGAGATTTTTCTTTTCTTTCACATGGAAATTTGAATCAGACACTACACTGGTACACTGGTGGTTTCTTTTTTCTGATTTGTTTCTTTCAATTGCTATCAAATTCATTTACATCCAGCTCATTCTTCTTTCTGCAGTGGGATGGTCTAGAAAACAAGTCAACTGTTCTTCTTTATGGAAGTGGAGCAATTTTTGCAGTTTGGCTCTCTTCAGCAGTTGTGGGTGCCATCAACTCCGTTCCTCTGGTAGGCGGTCTTTGTTTTCCTTTGCAGTATGTATTAGTTCTTTCCACAGTGTGGTAAAAGCAGTACTGGGATTCTATAATTGTTTTTGAATCCGTTATTTGGCCATTGCTTCATATGACAATTCATTTCTTCTTCAGCTGCCCAAAATTATGGAGTTGGTGGGGCTTGGATATTCCGGGTGGTTTGTATACCGTTACCTTCTCTTCAAGGTATGTTGTACTCATTCTCATTACTTATTGATGGGCTCAGTCCAACCAGTCTGACTGTTCATCTGCATCTTGGGCCAAGGCGAGTCTGAGCCTAGGGCTTGTTCTCGGAGTCTGAAGTCATACCACATCAGTTTAGCCACTATAAGACTTATACCACACTACTTGTTTTAAGTTAAATAGCACGAAATTGCTTTTTAATCACTGGAAAGAGGAAAATGCTGCCTTAGCTCAAGTAAGCTTAGGTCTGTGTAAGCCTAAAACAATCTAACAGACTTGTACAGACTTACAGGCAGAGCTAAACTCATTCCATGATTATATACAGGGGCGGAGCTAGGGGGTGGCCACCCCTGGCCCTGGCCCAGCCTAAATTTTAAAAATCTCTATATTTTTAGTGTAAAAAATTCCGTTTAAATTTTTTTCCAAAAATATTCTTTGTACTGGCCCAGTCCGGCCCAGTGTCCTGGCTCCGCCCCTGATTATATATAAGCTATATATAGAACATTTCAAACTCTAACTGGTTAAATGGGGATATTTTATCCTATTTGCAGTCCAATAGGAAAGAACTAGCAGAAGAGATTGAACAACTGAAGAAGAAGATATCAGGAACTGAATAGATGATGGGTGAATGGACCCCATAATCATTTCAAGTTGACCATTGTTAATTTTCTTGGATTATGTAAGAGGCTTATTCTTGTTTAAGGGTATCCTTGCAGAAAGCTTTGTGTTAAACGTTCATCTTGCTGTAAGATTCTGTAGTTGTATTTAAATATACTCCATATGTGTTTAAGAAATCTACTTTAACTGGCACTTCATCTTTTGTAAACTCCACAAGTCCATAGTCTATACCGTGTAGTTTGGAGATTACCAGGGGGCAGGGGCTCCTTGTTTGATTTTATGCGCTCAAGTACAATCAGAGGGCGTTTGGTTATGGATGGACTCGGTTCGGGCCGGGGCCGGGCCGGGCCTAGGCCCGGTCGGGCCTCCGGTCCTGGATTGGAGGGCCCGGAACCGGCCCGTGTAACCCCCGGGTCCGGGCCGGGCCTCGTTTTTTTTTTTTGCCTTTTCCTAATTAACCCCCAACCCCACCCCCTCACACCCAAACCACCTCAAATGGCCCAAAATACCCAGCCCAATCCAAAAACTTTAAAAAAAATTCAAAAAAAAAAACAAATTAAATGGCCCGGACCGGGCCTGAACCGGCCGGGCCGGTTCACGTTTTGAGGGGCCCGAGCCCGGACCGGAACCACGTTGGGTCGGGTCTACCCGGGCCGGTCCCTGACCGTGTTACCAAACGTATGTTACCAAACATACGTTTGGTAACACTGTTTTTCGGCTTATCAGCCTTATCAGTCAACGTTTTCACCAAACACGTAACTTTTGTTTTCGTGCGCTGAATTGTGTAATATAAGAAAAAGTAAGGTTGAAGTTACTTTTCTGGCAGTATTGGTTGAAGTTACTATAGATGATCATTTTAGCTATTTTACGTATAATTTTTTCATTATTTTAGTAATAAAATATATTTTTAAAAATATTTTTTTTCTTAAATCAGCTGAATTAGTCAATGCACTGATGCAGCCACTTTAGTCAGAATTTCATAAATTTTAACAGAATCAATCGATTTTTGTGTTACCAAACGGGCTCTCAAACTCATTAACTCACCACCTAAGAAGCTCTGAAGCTCTCTGGAACTCGGGTTTCGTCGATAACATAACTCGAAAGACTTCAATTACACTATCGAGTATCGGCCGCTTTGGTGATTAAAAGAATTTGGAAGCCCATTTTCTTAATTAACAATCGCTTGAGTAACATTGATATCGGGTTGTTAGTTTAAATGGAAATTTTTAAGGAAATTTAGTTTCTTTTATAAGTCTTCTCAGTGGATTTTTAATGAGGTGTTTTCATTACAACATTTTCTTTGTGACATACTGACGTCTGACATTAGTGTTTTTTACATTCACTACTACAACAGTTTTGAAAATTCCAAAATAGGACTGTCATGTTTTTTATTCCCAAAATAGGAGTAATTACTGGCAAGTTTGGAAAATACTGCCATATTTGAAGTCTGATATTGCCAAAACATGACAATAATTAGTCATATTTTGAAATTTTCAAACCTTTTTATTCTTATTTTGGATAATATTCTCTATTTTTTCATGTTTTTATTTTTGGGTATGTGCAAAGTCTATATGAAAAAGATAAGGGCGATATACTAAAACACGAGTTTTGAGGTTGTGTAAAACATAATTTCGAAAAAAAGAAAAAACAGAGTAACAATAATCCTTCATTTTTTTTGAATGGTGTGTATGGTTTGGCACAACACTAAATGCTTCTTGTGCTATTTAATACTACCTCCGTCCCAAAATGAAGTTTCTATTAACTATTCACTTGGTCAACTTAAATTATTCTTAATCTTTTGTTTTATACATCAAAATTTTTATCAAATTTAAATTTTCTTGATCAGTTTTGTAATTTTTTTAATGTAATTTCTGAATACGTAAATTTTATTTACTAAAAATAATCTCAGTATGTTTGAACAAGGATCGAGCTGTTTGATCGTCATTCAAGCATCATAAATCGAAACGGAAACTTCTTTAGAGAGTGACTTTAATAGAGTCTTTGAAAAAGCAAAACACTTCTTTAAACTGTGTCATTTCGCAGATGGAGGTATACTTTCAGCAATATGTTATAATTAATGGTGAGTACCTTGAGACTTTTAGTTCACGCATACAAAACTTCAAGTTGTAAAAAACAAGTTTGAATTTGAATTTGAATACTGAACTTTAGTTACTATGCTTGAATTGCTAGAAATTGCATAAAGCAACGTTCGATACTTCTCTTTTTGTTCAGTCGTGGTCTAGTCACTAGTGGGTGTGGAAATGGGTAGGCAGCGGGGATACTTCTCAACAATGGCTTGATGTACTCACTCTTATATCCACTTTATATCCACCATGTTTGTGGAGATTTTTTTTTGTCTGTGAACCTGGTTCATAGACAATATTTTGTTTGTGCAAAATATTGTCTGTGAACTGGGGTTCACAGAAAAAGAAAACACTTCACAAACATAAGTGTGTACAAAAGTGGGTATAAGAATGGATACAAAGATCATTTTTGTATGCTTATTAAGGAACATGTTGGATGATGATGAGCGAGTAAATGTTCTCAAGTTCTCAATTAATTGATTAAATGATTAATAATTGCATGTGTTTTGAAGTTCTCAACCCAGCTCTCATGAGAATCAGGATTTATTAATCAAATACAGGGGCGGCCCTAGGGGTGCAACAGGGGCGACCGCCCTAGGCCCAAGAAATAGGGGGGGGGGGGGGGAATAGGTCCAAAAATATTTCTTTGTATGTAGTGTGAGTAGACTTTTTTTTTTTAAATTTTTAAGCTCAATTAATTGGTTTAAGGTTTAATCTTTAAAATAAATGTAGAGTGACACGCATCTCTTAATTCTCTTAGGATCTCTAAGTTTTATAATCCTTTTAATTACAAAATTACCAAGTTATGTTAGGCCTCCAAAATCCAAAACTCCCCATTTGCAAACCCCATCCAAATTGATTTGTTGTTTCCAAATTCCAATATCAGCAAGAGTAAAGAATTGCAAAGCGGTGAGTGCCTCAGTGGTTTGTTAAGAATCGAAACCAATCAATCGACGAGCCCAAACGGCGGTTAGTGACCAAAAAACTTCTTTTTCAAGGCTTCAAACAATCCATCCGTGATCAATAAATTATTGTTGATAAAATTGGTGAATCAAGTTGGGATAAAGAGAGAAAGAGAAGAAGACTAGAAAAGATAGGTTTAAGTTAGCAGGGATCAATGGAAAATTTTATTTTTGTTAAGAAATTGAATCTTGAAAATTATGTGAGAAAGGTTTTTAAGTACTGTTTTTCTTTTTATGTGATACTTATGTTGTTACTTTTCACCAAATATGTAATTTAAATAATAATAATAATAAAATGAGTTTCGTTTTTATTTGATGACCTTTATTAGATAATTTAATTATAATTATTATTTTAAATAAATATAGTTTATTCTTTGTCTTGAATATAAGCCCAAAATTTTATCCCGCCCATAGGCCCGAAAATAGACAGGACCGCCCCTGATCAAATACCGTCAGATTCCTAGCAAAAAGCTAATTCTAACATCGATGTTCGACGTGAGATAAAACACTAGTTGCACAATTACTCGAGCTAGCCTAAGGGGCACAACTTTCGTGAGAATCACGACTTATTGGTCAAAAACCATCAGATTTCTAGCAAAAATCTAATTTCAACATCAATGCTAAACGTGAGATAAAACACTAATTGCACGTACTTGAGCTAGTAAGGGGCACAACTTTCGTGAGAATCGCGACTTATTGGTCAAACACCATCAGATTTCTAGCAAAAATCTAATTTCAACACTGATGCATAACGTGAGATAAAACACTAATTGCACAACTACTCGAGCTAGCCTAAGGGGCACATGTTTCATGAGAATCACGACTTATTGGTCCAACACCATGAGATTTCTAACAAAAAACTAATTCCAACATCGATGCTTGACATGAGATAAAATACCAATTGAACAACTACTCGAGCTAGCCTAATGGATATAGATGATCACCATTTGTAAAAAACCTCCTAAATTCTATGGGTGACTTCAATGAGTTCAATCCAAGAACTCCCACAAAAGGAAGACTGTGATCCACCCTCCTCCAAGTGGGCCACTCCCGCTCATTTTTTATTTCTATTTCACCAAACATCTCAATACAGAAGATTACTTATATTTGAGGATTAGTTATTGTTGAAGTGAAATCTCATGCTGTAATGTTATCAAAAGATAATATGTTTCCGTTAAATCAAATAGTTTCTTTTTGTCTTTTAGAAAAAACTTTGAACCTTATGTCCCTAAATTTTCCTTATGTGGTAACCAAATTGTTTCTTTTTGAAAGTGTAAACAAATCGTTATCAATTTGATCTAGTGCTCTTACGTAATAATGATACTCCCTCCGTCCCTAATAACTTTGCCAAGTTTGACCGGCACGAGGATTAATAAAGTAAAAACTGTGTGGTTGAGGTTTGTGCAGAAGAGAGAGAATTAACTTGAACCACAAATTCTTTACTTAAAAGGGAAATTGGCAAAGTTAATGGGACATCCAAAAAAGAAAAGTTGGCAAAGTTATAAGGGACGGAGGGAGTACGTAATAATGATTGTACATCGTCGAACGGCGCGAAACAATCTCAACAATGCAATATTTCACCCTTAGTAAAATGACATTTCATATAGTCAAAGAGGGAAAAATATATCCTTAAAGTGCATGCTACACAATCGGTTCAACTTTTTACTTATTGTAAATAAGGATGGACTGGGCCGGGCAGGCCGACCGACCCGGCCTGACCCGGGATCGGTACTATTTACCGGCCCAAGCCCGGTTACCCGGGATCGATACTGAGCCGGTCTTCGGTCCGGTGGACATGGGAGGCGGGCTCCTGTTTTGGTGGACAGGTCGGGGCCGGGAATAACAATCAAAATTTCAAAAAATAAAAATAAAAATTTGGCGCAACTAGTAGGGTTGTAACTTGTAAACGAACCGAATCGAGTCGAACAACGGGATTTTGTATTTGTATTTGTTTAGTTTTTCCGAATCCGAATATGAAACGAATATTAATTTCAATTTGTATTTGTATTTGTTTAACAATACGAATAATTAATGAATCATATACGAATATCGAATTGATTTGAGCATAAGTTAAATATTAGTCAAATACTCCGTTCTTTAATTCTTGCAACATTGTGATTTTTGCACTATTCACAGACCTTACTTTGACCATGATTTTCTACTAATATACATAATCAAATTATTACGTATAAAGTGTTATTCAATTCCTATCATT